CAAGGCTTGGTTTACCTAGGCAGGTGTCGATCCAGGATTCGAGCCGCTGACCATACGTGTGTGATAGTGTGCCACTTGCAACTACACCACCTCCGCCTGTCTCCGGAAAGGTATCAGAAGTTATATTCATATCTATATTCATATCTCTAGATAACGTGGCATAAATTGCAGTGTTGAATGAGAACACAACACGCTTGCGCAGTAGGCGTGCTTAAACTCCTGTTACTCCTTTTTTTTGCTGGTGAGCTTGTCATGAAAGCTTAAATGCAATTCTGCTCTACCTAGAACCTCAAAAAAAAAGCTTCGAACACAACTCTAAACACTTCCAGCCCTTCCAAACTCTTACATTCTACTGACAATGACACCATCGCATGGCATCTCATAGGTTTCAATTCGATACGTACATTGCCCTTCCTTGCTGCAACTAGCTTAGCGGAATATCAAAAGAATGTTGTATTTTGGGAGGTGGGACATGATCTTCTTTTGCTAGAAAGGATGGCACGTAGCTTCCGCTCCAAAGTAGATGAAAGTGGAGATTACTACCAATTTTCCAGCGAAAAGCTATGCTAACCTTGAAATGGCGTCGGTCTCGCTTTTCTCGTCTCATCATAATCCACATCGTTCCCCACTGTGCCAGGTACACGGGTTCGATAACTCGTGGTGTCTCGTTGACAAAGGAGATTGCTCCAGTAATATGATAAAGTACCTGAAAACACTCCTCTCATATATCATCATGATTTAGAAACTAAAAAACTCACCTTAACATCTCTAATCTGCTCCCATGGCATGGGCATATTTTCCAATAACTTGAGAACTGCATGGGGCATGTACTTCAAAGCCCCTAAGTAAACTCTTTTATCGTGTCGGAATTTACGGGATGTCATGTCACCATGATCACGGATGATCTTTCGCACATGTTCTAAAACACTATTTGAATTATGAGAACATCACTTGAAAGCTGAAGTCTTTGAAAACTAAATTTGAGGTTAGAATGCTATGAAATCAAAACAACACAGATAAATACAGACCTGGAGGCATTTCTTCCTTCTGTGTGTCGACAACTCCAAATTTCCTTTTCTCCGCATAACGTTTCGATTGCAACTGCTTCCACTTTCTAGCCTAAAGTGGCCAATATTTATAAAGAGCTACGCATCTAACATAATTACTAAATCATTACCTTTTCTTCTAAAAGCTGATCTGCAGTTGGCGGAGGGGGAGGTACCTGGAATGGAAGAATGAATGCGAGCCACTTAGAATTATCATAGAAGTAACAAACCTCGCCCGTATCCATCGGCTCTAATGCTACGTTCCCATATAGAGGTTCCATTCCCTCCATAACTGAAAACCATTTTTACAATTAACTCTATTAACAACTCGATAGGCAATCACAGCAGTACGCAAGCATTCGAGCATAATTCTATTATCAACTCAACTATTAACTTTACACTTGTATAGAAGGACTGCGTTTATTAGGTCCGAAACGTTCCAATGCTATTCTTATTCAATTCTATTCTTTTTATTCTTACTTGAAACATTTGACAATTAAACTACAGCCCTATTAAATGAGACTTTCTCGGGGGACCCCTATAAAGGAACCTGAAAAAAGAGGAGACCAATTTTCTTCACATCCCAGCATTAATTCGATGACTTCCCTTGCTAACAATTCCTTGTACATAACAAACTATAGGACTTGTGAATAGGGCTTGAAGATAATAAATCTGTAGGCATGAACTTCCTATACTTCCGAACGGCCTTGATCAAAAGACAGCCTGCCTAACAAGCCCAAGTGTATTTTTTTCGCATGGGATTACATCTTAAAGATGGATGTACCCAAAAATAGAGGAGAAGGTGAAATTGTTTAAGGTGATGCTATAGAACAATGGGAAACATTTGTCTGNNTAGGGAGGAGAATATCGAGCAAACGTAAGGAAACGACCAAATGGATGGGCCAAATGCAGTAATGGTCCCAGAAAAATTCGAAATAGTTTGGCGCCGAGTTTGCCCAGTTGCGATGCGTTCGGCGTCGCGTGCAATCATGGAACTCCACGAGGTGGTCCATGGCTGCATCCCATCCATCACCGTTGCTTATCGGAGTTGTTGGACTGTTCTGTCAACACCTCTTACTTGTTTCTAATGGCCACTCATAAATAAGTGATACCAATCACTCATTATGAATGCAGCTTGCCCGAATGTAAAGGAGGATTGGTTACCAAATGCCCTTTGATTACAAACAAAACGGAAATCAGTACGCTTTCTCATCTGAAAAACACTTTCTTTTACAAATAACAACCTTATCAAGTCTCCATGGGATCGAAGGCGTTCGTATTCCCAGTCCCACACAACCACTATCGATTCAAAGGCCAATTACGTATCCTCCCATGACGTTCCATTGTTTTGTTTTTCTTTTTCGAAACTTGGCCTTTCTCGTATTTCACCAACTCGCAGTGTTGTCGTCTATCTTATCTAGGATACGGAAGGTTTTAATGTTTTGACTTTAATTACTTCGCGTCTCAGAGTTACTCATTTTTCATTTTGTTTTAAACAAAACGTGGGGAAGATTCAGGTCCATTTCGGTTAGTTCTCGTGTGATCCCGTAGAATATTACTGTTTCTGTATGACTCTTGTTGACGTCAGCAGTTTCAATCAAAGTGGATTTATTAAGTTGTACCTACGTTAGAACTATGAGTTCAATTATGGAAATGACATGTGATTTTCTGGTTTTTGAACTATGTCATCGCCTATCAAATTGTACACGCAGTAAATGGAAATTGAATGAGTTACTCAACTATAATGTGCTGTATGACGTTCATTTTGACTATATGTTGACTACTGACTACTGTCGACAGAAGCAAATGTTTTAATTGTTTTGTTCTGTCTGCGAGGTTGATAGGTGGAACCATTTACTACCGGCCTAAATCCGGTAATGAAGTGTTCCATTTGTCAACCTCGCCGGTAAAGAAAAACAATCAAAACTAACACGACTGCAAGGTGTCTTGGAGAGTGAAGCTGGAAACTCTGTAACATAATCTATAAATATGTGTACACGTTTTGACCTCCTTCGGCAACTGTTCTATAGGCTTCGCAGACTGGACCTCGATTTTCTCTAAAAAAAAAGAAGTGATAGGGCTTGATATAATTCGAGGAATTCTCGTCAAATTTGTCTTTTGCTGTTTGGCGCTGTTTGTAAATTGGAATATATCCATTAAATATGGCTCGTCCACTTGTCTAAATAAAAATACTTTGACATCATGTACGGTCAACTCAACCATTTTCGTAAATCTTCTCTTTACGGGGATTACGGGGGGGGGGGGGGGGGGGGGGNGGGGGGGGGGGGGGGGGGGTGGTGTATAACAGAAAAAGGCTTTTACTCACCTGAATGAATCTAGCATTCATACTTGGATAAAGGAATACCGTATTGTGTAACAATAAGAATAGCTATATAACTTTCCTCGAGGCTTTGAATTAGAACTATTCGCTGTTAAGTAACACAACACCATCAGTTTCCCTCAAACTTGAGGCGGTATTAGAACTGAGTATTCTTATGAAGAGTAACTTTCTCCAAAACCCCGTCTGTTGGTCTTCCTCTTTCAATATCCATTGATTACTGCTATTCACATTTATTTCTAGTGCGTGATCATTTATTGACCATTTGTCATCTGGAAAGTCACCATGCGTGAATGTGGTCGTATTCCTTTTTTAGCTTTAGTTTCACGGCTTGTTGCTCTTCATTGATTTCTTATCCTTGTTGGCAAATAATTCTAGATCTTCATTTTTCTTCTTTTCGTATCCCTTTCCAAATAATTTGGAGCCGGACAAACGAAGGTTTATGAATGCCCACATTATGGATTACTGTACGTCTGACGTGCGCAACACGGATCGCACGTAACAGTTCTCTCATTTCCAACTATAAAAGCAACAAGGATATATTGTTTTTTGATAAAATCACTTATTTTTGAGCTCCACTCACTGCAGATTGTTTTCATTCATCTCGCCTTGTTGTACGTCTATTCATAGTTACCAGTTGTTAGGCTTTATTGGGATCCAGGCACTAATTTACTCGTAACTGATTCACTCCTCTGTCCCAACTTACTTTTCACTCATTGTGGGTTCCTTTATATCTTAGCCGATTCTCATCACTTCAAAATTTACTGGTAGAAATACTTACTGAAGCGGACAGAAGCAGCGTCTTACGCAATAAATAAATAAATATATGTAATATACGTAATATATACGCATATATGTGGATACTTGGATAGGGTTATTAGGAATACCATGCAAAAAGGCTGTGGATGTTTTAGATGGCTATGTTTTTTTGTTGTCATGGTTGATGCCAAAAAGATTGTGGTTTTGTTGAAATTGAAACGACTGCACTTTGAGTAGGGCTAACCTGTGATATTACACGCTAACTACAAATTAACATCTTTTTTCAAATGTCAATTCGGCTTTGACCCTTAAATAGGGGTCCATTGATATACTGTTTCTATAATGCATGTATTCTTTGTAACCCTATTGGGTTCTGAAAAATCTCAAAACAATATTCATAAGTAGAGCTTATGCAACTTTTCTTGTGTCCGAGTTTTTATTTTTATGCTTCGATTTATCTCTACTCTAACAGTCAAACCTTCTGTGCGGAAGGGTTTGAAAGCAAGTTTTCATATTTACAGTGTTTTGACCATTCCAGTCTGGTCTTCTACCGCTGTCTTCCCAACAGCGATCCCTAAGTCGATCGCTTTTCTAAGCTCAAAATTTCCCCAACCTATTCTCGTCTGCGAATTGACGGTGCGTTGCCAAGTCCAATCGATCGTGGTAGCGTCGTCAGACTGAGGTATGTTTTCTTAATAATTGGTCGCATCATATCATAGCTTGGTAGGGTTCTTGATAGGACTTCAAAAGTTNGTTTTCTTTGCCAGTCGTAGGGGAAACACGGAACATTCTGAAACTACTCTTTTTTCTGAGTCCAATTTCTACAATTAAAGAGGAGCTTGATGACATTCAAAAGGCCAGTACTTCAGTAGATGACACTGGGGACTGCTTTTAAAAAAGTGACAGCCTATGAGTGTAGTCAGTGTTGTCTTCAACATTTTGTCAATCTCATTATGGTTTAAAGCTTTCAGTACACGTTCCAATTTTCGTGAAGCAGTGCGTAGGAGCTTGTGTGAGGGTATGAGTTTGCCACGATTACCCATAATCGCTGGTCAAGTACCTATCGCTCCTTCACCTGCCCCACCTCCTGCAAGTGTTCCAACTCCATCTGCCGTTCGCGTTTCATCACTTCGATGTAAGGTTTCCTTCTGAAAAGTTATTCCAACATTTGCTTTCGTATTTTGATGCTTTTCGAGTCCTGTTGAATGTTTTGCTTTTCTAGCCGATGATGCTACTGCATCTCAACCAAAGAAGTTGGAAGTGGTTTCTAAACAAGCGACGAAGGTCACCGCTTTGTCAACCAAACTAGAATGGAAGATTGATCAGGTTAAATTTCCACGATGTTTTGCCTTGCTACTCTCGAATATTGATAGGGAAGGGATGTGTGTCTGTGACAAGCACCTGATTTCCTGACATGATCCGGTTGTGTAGCATTTTCATTTTCACGGTACCAGATCTAAAAAGTTCCCCAACTCCTCACGAACGTAAGACACATTCGTGCACTTATCATCCAGCCTTTTCCTCATCTGCTCTAAATTATATCTAGTACGAATTAATATAGTTTATCTAGAAAGATATGTAAGGTCTGAGCGCAATATTGCCCGTACCATTTGTTTCGGAACAGGTTTAATCGACTATGGCTGCATTTTCTTCTTTTTTTTATTCCGTTTCTCTAGTGAGTAATGGTTATTTGCTGTCGGCTATGAGACAGCCTGCAGAACTCTACGCTAAAGAAGGTCAGAGATTAGTGGTCAAATGCGGGTGGAGCTATCACAAAAGTGTGTTGAGTGGGGTAATCCCAATCGTTTGTCAACTCCGTTGAAAGCTATGAGTAGTGGGTGAAAATCGGTCTATGAAGTCTTCATGAATCAGAAACATCAAGCATTGACTCGGTGTTAGTAATGGGATTTGGCATGGTCGGCGTCGAGGGCTAAAGCTTTTTGTTGCGTTTTATGTTTGCTTTTTTTCACGACTGGTTTTTGGAAGTGATTCGGCTTGCTTGCAGCGTATCACTGTAGAAACGATAAGTCATGAGAACAGGTTAAAGACGCTTAGTGGGAATTTTTAGATCCTGAAATTTTGTACATATACAGTAGCGCTCAAAAGTATTCGGCCAATTTTAACTTGCCGTAACTTTTTTTCCAGTGGAGCAAATCGCATGAAATCTTTATATGTTTAACTGAAGCATATTTCACACTATCCAGCACTACTTGACTGCAAAGCAGGAATGTCCACAGAACTAAGGGAAGGCGTTGTAGACAATGCTGAAAGCAAGTTTGTGACGACTGCAGTTATTCGCTTCTTATTAGCGTTTTCTCCTCTTATGTGTTCCGCACTAGCGTAGACTTTGGACATGGCAAAAAGGAAAGAAATTCCAGAAGCTCTAATGTCCCTATTTTCAGTTGGTTTTGATTTCAAGTTCTTTGGGATATTTGGAACATGGTAAAAGGCAGGTAAATAGTGGTAAATATTCACACTACACCAATGCTACACATACTGAAATTTCGCTCGATTAGATCCAGTAGGAAAGGAGTTATGACTGACAATTACAACTGAAGAAGCATTTCGCCTAATACTTTTGAGCGCTACTGTATATACCGTTTCAGAGTGCGAGCAGAGAGAGCGATAAGAGCTTATCTGATGATGCTTTCACGAAATAATAGTAAACCAGTACGATTTCAGTTCGAAAAACTGATGAAACTGTTCAAGAATGGCCAAAATCTGATTAGTAGACAGTTTGGAGTGCCTCAAGCTCCAACTGTATGTTGGGAACTTCATGTGTACCCTAACGGCAAAAGAGAGGAGGATATGAACAATGTGTCGTTCTTTCTGCGTCAAGTTGGGTTACAGGTGAGCATTTTTGAGCTAGCTACTGAATCAGTGCATTAAAGAATGGTTAGAATGTCGTTCTCACTGATTATGTGGAACAGTGCTCGTTATTTAAGCGCGGGGAGGAGCCCATAATGACCGAATTTCAAATCTACGCACTAGACGTGAGTTCTCAACGAGTTAGCGTATGCCGAGACACAAAGGATTTCACAAACCAACAGGGTCGAGGAAAATTTCAGGTCAGTTCGTTTCAGAAGCATTATTATAATTTCTTTATATCAATGGATAGGAAGTCGGATAACAAAAGTTGCTCGAAAAATATCCACGTCACACAAAATATCCTCCCTCTAAGTTAAAGTCATGCAGCTACAGCCGAGGTCAGCAGCACCTCGAAGTGCTTTTCGCTAGGGAGTCAGTTATCTCAATATTTTACTTCGGAGCTATCTTTTTTGCGTAGCCCTGTAAGCATTTTTTAGAAGTAAGCATCAGCTACGACTAAGTTGGTCATACTGCTTAAATAATTCTGCTGTATGATCTAGAAGCTAAGACATAAACTGATTCTCTTCAGGTTTCACGTGATAAAATGGCAGGTGCGCTAAGAGCCGATGGGTCATTACTGTTAATATGCGAGGTTTGATTACTTCTTTGAATCTTAATTTTAATTATACGTGGAAATGTTTGCGCAAAACTGTGGTAGGAGTCCTTTATAAATGTAATCAGCAGTCACCACTAAGCTACCGAAGCAGCTGCCCCAGCTTTCCGATCTGGGTGTGAAGTTCGATGCGAATTAAGGCCTTTACTGAAACCAATGCTATGAACTTCGGTGTGCTCGGTGAAAGAAACTACCAGCTATGAAAATTGTAGTTGAAATTAGTAATTAGAAATTTGAAATCGTTAAGCTGAAAACCAGAAATTTTCTTCAGTTCATTGCGCGTAAACTTTTACCTTGTTGAGACCGACTATAGTTGTTGAGAGTTGCATGCATATCATTTCGAACTCTTTGGATGTTGCTTGGCTACAGGTGGAATATTTCACTCCTGGATCAAAAATTTCTGTGGAACCTGCCGATGACGAGGAGTGCACACTGGAAGATGTTGACGAAAAAGTCGAACTGAGCATACGAGAGAGCAATCGCGAGATGTGGGAATCAGAACTGTTTACAGATTGTGTCATCAAGGTGAGTAGTAAAATCTAGTTGCATCAAACCCAGTTTCCCAATTCGATCCCAATATTGAGTAATACCTCATTATAGTGAAGCTAATGGCTGCACTCTTTTATATTTTTCTTACAGTAATTGTTTCACTTACATATTTTTTACCAGGTCGGCTGTAAAGAAATAAAAGCTCATCGATGTGTCTTGGGGCAACATTCCCCTGTTTTCCGTTCTATGTTCAACAACGAGTCAATGATTGAGGCTAGAGAAGGCATTATTGATATACAGGACGCTAAGTACGAATCGGTATGCTTCCATGATTCTGTTCTGGTCTTCCTGTGTATGTTTTCGAAGTTCCCTGCTTATTTCGTTTGCGAATTTTTTTGTTTTGTAGGTTCGAGCAATGGTAGAATTTATGTATACCGGATCGATGGATACTGTGGATTCTAATTCTGTCGACGAAGTGCTTGCTATCGGTAGTTTTTTTATTGCTACAGTTTTTCCTCGTTGTTGGTATAAAGAAATTTCGATTGATTCCACTGATGTGGTTACCTCTATGCGCATTATAACTCTAACGCTCATTTCTAATCAACCACCACTTCAGCTGACAAATATGAGGTGCTTCCTCTGAAAGAGCAGTGTGAAAGGATCATATCGAATACAATAACGCAAAAGAACATTACTTCAATAGCAGTCTTTGCAGATACTTACACTGCCAACCTGCTGAAACAGGTATTTCTGGAGAATCCTGATGCATGTAAAGCCTTTTGATTTTTTTTTTNTTTTTTTTTGTGTTCAGGCCGTTATACGATACCTTACCGTTCATCATAAGAATATAATTCGTACACCAGAATGGAGAGCAATGAAAAAGGTAGGACTTATTTGACAGTGACTTCCACGGCAGTTTAAATGAATTTCCATTCGTTCGCACTCCGTAACTGTCTCTGTTTAATGCCTTGAATAAGTTTGTAAGACCTTTTCTTCGTGTTTCTTAATTGTGATATCTTAGGATCGTTATGAATTGGCAAACGAGCTACTGGAAGCAGTTCTATCGGCTTCTGGAGATATGGATGACGAAAGCATGAATAATTCAAGCAAAGGACCGGCTCGAAAGAGAGTACGACGTTGCGTGAGCACAAAACAATAGTGATATGATCAGTCGGGTCGTGTAAAATTTTTCAGACATGTATGTCTTCCGAAAAAGCTCCAACCAGATTATGATTTAGTTCCCGTTTTTTGTTTGCTAGTGGTTCGAGCTTTTTTTGAACATTTAAAGAACTGGCAAAAGAACTCGTCATGCAAGTAATGTGATACATTGTATTTATGCTGCTGCGTAGTTGAGAGCTGTCCAATTCTGGCTACCCTTTCCTGATTGGAAAAATCTTCACAAATGATGCAACTGAGCGCTATGGTTAAGTTTTATTGAGAAGGGGTTAACAAAGTGATACCACCTGCATTCAGTTCACGCAGGTTTCGTTTTGTAATCGCTCCTGCTCTCAGGTGCTCATTTCTCTAGAAACCCTATACGACTGTTGACGCTGCAGTCTGCTCTCCTGGAGTTGTTTTGTTCTGAGAATCTAGCACAGCTTTCCAATTTCTCCGGCTTTTTATCTATCCTATCCATCCGATTTCCGAAGGGGAGGGGAACTGAGTTCAGGTTTTTGTCAATCGATTTTTGTTGGAGCAGTTGTTAGCGAGATGGCGCCGTTTTTTTTGAATAGTTTTTAGTGGTTTCAGCATAATAAATGACTGAAAATTCGGGACACAGGGGATAGCTTAAAAAGCGATGCATTCGAACGTTCTATATGCTTTCGCCCTCAATGCCGTTATATTCATAATTATACGAGATGTATATTAAGCCTTTCTGGTTCTACTATCAGTTCAAATTCGGATAGTTGTTTCAATTATCGTTCTAGTTCACCAGTAATTGTATTGGTTTTTCGATTTTATTTATAGTGTTATTAGATGATAGCATAAGTGAAGCCTTATTTTTTGTATCTTCTTTATTTGGAACTTGATGGGAATATTCGTTCCGTCTTTTATTTATGTATTGTAAATAGCTTTGCCGATATTAGTTCGCACTGTTTTTGGCTTCTCTCATGTACTTCAATGAATGTTTTGGAATGAAGTCTGTCTCAATGTGAGAGTATTGTTGATCACAAAGTTACATGCGCTTGAAGATTTCGGTTGCTTTTGAGTTCTTCTCGTTGGCCAGTTAAAAAGTATGCATTATCCCAGATGGATTGGCGAGTAGTGATCATCACGTATAATGTGAACATGCAACGTGCTGACGAAGATGACATTGAGAAGCTCCTTGCGCCAAGTATGGCTGTCAAACCGAGCATATTAGTGATTGGAATGCAGGTTTGATACTTCAGCGTGTCTCAGTTATTTAGGTTCCATTAGTCGAGGTGATCCCTAGATAATTCTTAGAATCGTTAGGCAGGTGCTTGCACCGGTTAAGGCTTCTGCTTTCTGGAGGGTGACGGACTAAGTAATTGATGGCTCAGACAAGCGATGAATACGTAATTAGGACTGAGTTTTCGGTAGTTTTTATACTCGGTTTTGGAAACCGTGGTAAGTTTCCAGAACGAATGAAGGATTCTTTCCAGTGAAATAAATGGATTTTAGTGATTCCAGGAAGTTTCTCACGGTGAAACCGTTGTCGGCGGAACAGCTGTTACATGGCAACGCCAAATTTTGGAATGGATGAGTACAAGGAGTGAAGGCATGGTGTTGCTCACAAAAACTTACCAAATGACAAATCAAGTGACGGTTTATCTGAAGCGAGCTCTTTTACCGCAGGTGCGTTACTATGCTAGTAGTCTTGGCTCATTATTTTCTTTTCAATAGCTGAATGTGTCTTATTACAAAGGAGCTTCTTTGAATCGCCTCTACGACTACGCCTTGACTGATTTCTTACAATTCTGTAACACTTCAGAGCTTTTGGTATAAATGACTAGAAACAGTGGACTCTGATAATAAACTTACGATGTGATTCTTTCAAATGTGTTGATTCATATTTTCTGATTAGATCTTCTGTCTTTTTTTGTATTACTACATCTTGTTATTTCTTCAAAGCGGTATTTCAGATTAGAAGAATCCAGTTTCGCTTCAGCCGCAGTACTATGGGTGGACTTACGGGCCACAAAGGATCTATAGGTGTGAATATTTCACTACATGTAGGTTAATCTTCCTTATTTTTCTAGCCAAGTTTTCAATCAGGCTTCTAAGGCTCAAAGCCCTTTTTCGACGGATAATCAATTCATTCAGGGTGGTATTTCCGTGGTATTTGTTGAAAGTCATTTCATCCATGATGTCATTTCCTACGACAGAAGGATAGCTCAATTTCATTCCAATAAAACTTGTTGTTTCCCTGAGGACAAGGAAGTCAAGTAAGTTTTTCAACCCATATGTGTAAAAAATGAAAGTAGTTGTTTTTGCGATAGCGAGTACATACAACTTGTCGGTTAGCAAATGTGAAATAGTGGAACGGCTTCGACGTTGGTTAGTTTCTATCGAAGATGCGCTTAGCTTTGCGGTTCTATTTGATGTATTTGCGCCTGCAACCCAGCCTTTATGCTGGTTCTGCGGGATTCGATCCTTGTATCACTACGTAGAACCAGTGCCTATTGGTATTACCTCACAACAGTTTTGGTAAAGTGATGACTGTCCTCAACTCACCAGGCAGTCAAGGCTGCCCAGGAGAGTTTTGCCTGAGGAATTAATAGTAGTGGTAGCTGCTCTTCAAAGCCAAAAATCGGCCATAATCGTCTAGCTTCGAGAATTGCCCTTATTTCAAAAAATAGTCTTTTTTAGAGCAACGTTCTGGCTTGGAGATTTGAACTTTCGTGTTGAAAAAGAACCTGAAGAAGCTCTAGAATTTATCAAAGCGAAGACTTGCCCCAAGTTACTAGGTGAGTGCTTCTTTGAAGCCGATCTGTTCTAAGGCCAATAGTAATTTTTAAAGACACTTGTGAGCAGCTCAACCAAGCTGTACGGCAAAAAGAGGCCTTTGTTGGATACAAGGAGCAACCAATTCATTTTCCACCAACTTACAGGTTCCCTTTTCATTGGTTTTTAAAATATCTTACGTTTCTGCTCAAAATTAGGAGTAGAATAGCCACTTTACCGCATACAGCTGTGTTGTAGGTTCTTTGTTGGTTCGACGGAATACGACTTGAAGCGGACGCCGTCTTGGTGTGATAGGGTATTATTTACGGTAAGTGTGTTTGTTCTTTCAAAAGCATAACGGTAAGAGAAGACGAAGGCGACTTTTCTCAATTCTAGGGTGACATAATCTCTCCTATAAGCTATATATCTAACGAGGACGTATTGGTCAGCGATCATTTACCAGTGCAAGCAGTCTTTGACTTGAAGGTTTGTCTTTTACAATTCACTATTGTTCTAATCAAATATATTTCAAGAGAACTGTCAAAAGGGTACTTGTTAATCAGAATTGCAATTTCAACGATATGATGATACTCGTATTTTAAGTTACTGGTTGTTTCTAAGACTTCTCGTAGTGTTAGACTTTCTCGTAGCTTGAATCTTTCCACGGCAGAAAAAGCTAGCTTGAAAACGGTAGCTCCTACAGACATTCATACCCAGAATGCTTAAAAATGTTCTCTTACGCTCACGCTGAGGATGTCATTTCTACATATCTAGTCATGTGTTTTAATCTAATTCATATAAGTTGCTGTTCAGGTTCCGGTATCATCAGCTAGTAACTGGGATGTATTATTTGAACATCTGCCTCCATGGTATACTACCGTGCCTTTGATTAGCCGGTTCCAATTCCGACACAATTACTGGAGCAGTCGTGGCAGTTACCTCGATTGGGCAGCGGTCTATCCGGTACGTAATCTTTAGATTTGAAGTTATTTCAGTGGAACAACATACTAGAACTTTATATTCTCCTCTAGTTTATCGTAGTTCAACACAGTGCTGTTTTATCAAAGGTCGTAAGATAATATCAGTATGGATACATACCATTGTTAGTACGCGTAGGCCTGAGTAAAAGGAGTTGCTTTCTTCGATTCGCACCAGTACGCGTTCCGTTTCATTTGAATACTACCTTTTCATTTTGGATTTAAATGCAGTCGTGCGCCCTGACTACTACGTTTTACCAACGAGTCACTATCACCGAATGATACTCTTATTCTGGGAGACTTAGTAAAAGAAAGAAGTTGAGGTTACGATGCTTGCGTCGTGCATTGAAGAACGATCTTGAACGAATATCTTTTTGAGAATGCTACATTTACAGCAGCATGCTTAAAAAGCACTTTCAGCAATCACTAGATCGATTAGATTTTAATCAGAATTTTTTACCTCACTCGAAAACTCGGCTTTCAATTGAATGTTCGAATATTTTGATTTGATTTTTTGTTCAATGCCTTAGGGACTTGTACCTGTGCAAGGAGATGAACAAGAGGTTTAAATCATTCAGTGGGTACCGGGAAGGACAAGGTGAGAGTTCACCTGTACAGATAATCGCGGAGAGGGCAGAATCCGTAGTGTCGGGTTACGGGTGCAAAGAAATTGAGAAACTTCAATTCACTTGACAGTTCAAAGACCAAGTGGGTCGGTTCCTTCATGACAGTTGGGCGATGCCAGTTATCGACTGCACCCCTAGAAACATCCAACAGACACCAATGCGGCGCCAGCAGCCTATTGATAGCATTCTTCTGGCAATCTCTGAACGGGAAGACTGATACGGTCTGTGTACCTTGAATGAAGAGGGCCTTCAACGTAAGGTCGCGACGGGAGTGAAAAGAGGTTTTCTTATGCCCACTCGAAAAAGACAGTGCTTAACAGGAACGGGCAATACAGGTGATAGGTGCTGGGAGATAGCAAATTTCTATTGCTACAGGTCAGTCATAGTTGAGGGACGTCAACTATCCTATTTGATAGTGCCGGCAGTGGATGATGAAGCGCAACTTTCCTCATTCTCGTTGTTTTTTCAGCATTACCTTGTGGTACCTCAGTAGTGAACTGGGCCAGAACTCTTTGTAATGAAACAAACAATGATTCTCTCACAAACGATAAGCTTCTACTTTCTTCTTTCTTCAGGCGACAATTGATGATTGCACGACGCCAATCAAATGGATATGGATCGCCACGTGCTCAGATCAAACAGTTCAAAACCAGCGGTATATCGTGTGCGAGTTTGGGACGTTGCCGGAAGGCTTTTATCGACTTGGGTACTTTAGTCACTACAGTAACTGTTTGATAGGGTTGTCGAAGACCTTTAGAGTAACGGAACCACCCTCAGACTGATTCGTTGGTCGCAATATATGACCTCCGCAGTATTTTAATACCTTGATGGCCAGCAATAACTAGTTCACATACATGTACATATGCCCTATATTAGTCATTTTATGTATGTAGTGTTGTAAACACATTTCTGTATACATCAGAGTGCAGCTACTGTACTACTTATTTGTGATTCGCTAGAAAGTGTTGTAATAATAATCAGAACCTAGATTCTAGTTGGCTAAATGAACATCAGCACGAACACTGGCATTATTAGTTAAGGGTCACATTCGTTGCGTTGATAATATTGACGCCGACGTTGGCGTCAATTGAAAGTGCTGATGCTGGCATCAATTAAAAGCCCTGACGCCGACATCGGCGATACTATGAATGCAGCCATTCAAGGCTTTGCGTTGCATTGTATTGATACCGCAATTTTTTGCGCCGAAAGGTTGAAGTGGGGGGGGGGGGGGGGACNATTGTTGTCCGCATTTCGAAAATGTGTTAATAACCTTTCCATTATGATGTGATTTCTACTGGCTAATCTTCGATTATGTTTCATAGTTACTAGATTCGGTTTGTTGTGATATGATCTTTTTCTACGAGGATATTGTACCAGTATTTATATGACATAGTCATTTCTACCTCGCAAGATTGATTTCGCTTCGCTTGTTTTATAAATTGCTGTGCTTTACTATTCTGAGCATTAGGGTGTTTAGATTCGATTCATTCATGAGACATTGCGAATTCCTGTTCAACTTCAAAAGTCATAAAATTACTTATTTGTCATGTCTGTGTACAGTACCTTCGTAGGATCCTTCCTCAATTCTATTTCAAAAGATTGCTGATTATTGAATCCAGAAAACAAGTCCTTTTGCAGTACCTATCCATGAACTTGTTTGTGCCCCAGTGATTATCTACCACCTAGAAAACGTGTTGTAGGTGGCCTAAGTTACACCCAGCCCACTACATAGACGAAAAACTGGAACGGAACCTTGTTCGTACGGTAATCCAGCTGTGGGTCATGTTTCGAAGCAGTGTTGGCACTGCAACACATTCCGCTGCTAATCCGATGGGCACATTATGCTAGCAGTCATCTTTCTCGCTTCCTTGCTTAGGCTCATTTTTTTCGACGCGTCTTATATGTGAAGGATTGAAATGTGCATTCGAATAAGCTTATGCCG